CTCTCTCTTGCCCCTCAGTCTCACTCATGCTCTAACACACACACACACACAGAGAGAGAGAGAGAGAGAGGGAGGTGCAGCCATGTTTCACAATGCCGCCTTTCTGCCTCAGGCAGCTGAGGCCATCACTGCACTGTGTGCTTTGTGTCTCGAAGAAGCTGCTATAAATAGGAGCCCCTCTTTCTATTGCTCTCGCTCACTCTCTCTCTCTCACACGCACACACACACACACTTCCATTAACGTATCTCAGGAGGCTCACCTTAGGTCTGAGATAAGAAATTAGGATTTAATTTGTATCTTTTACTGGTAAGGAGGCACACGCCATAATCCAGTTTTTATCAAATAGTTTCTTTAACAGCCCGCTTCTATGTTTTTTTCTTTCCTTAATACTGCGTATTCACCTCCCATCCAAAGAACGGCCTCCAAAAAAGATGTCATGGCTCTGATATGGGGTAAAAAATAAATATTGAGGAGAGTGACAGTTTACAGCGTTTTAGAGCGTAGCTGCAGTTTGTAGTCTCTGACCTGTAAGTGCACCAGGAGATCACACCAAAACAGGACACACACTTTTGAATTGTTTGTCATATGGGCTTCAATTTGAAGATTATTATATTATAGAATATTTGTAAAGACGTTTACCTAGGCCTCAAACATTATGTCAACGTGACAAAGACAGTTTTTTTTACACTGTATCACCTTACAATCTGGAGTCTGGCTGTATTCTACAATAACATCTATACACACACAAACACACACACACATGTTTACACTGTACATACACGCTGGTGCATTCACACACACATACAAACACACACACATGCACGCACCGTTTCTGCTCCATTCCCTCCCTCTCTCCAGACAGTAGTTAATAAAAGTCAGGAGGAGAAGACACTGAGCCCACAAAAGGAAAAAAAGGAAAAATGCTACATGACAGCCGTTCCTTTAGGAGGTGGAGAGGGAGGGAGGGAGGGAGGGAGAGATTAGTTGAGAGTAGAGGAGGTGATGCAGGCGAGGAATGGGGGAGGGAGGGTTGAGAGAGGATGAGAGTCGGGTAGGCAAGTAGATTTAGGCTGTTGCAACTCTGATAGAGCTGTCTCACCATGACTCTGAAATCTGTGAGGGGGGCAGACGAGCTTAAGAAGCATAAAACATCAGAACAGGGAAGGCAGGGAGAAAAGAGGAAGAGGCAAAGCGTCACTGACAGGTTATGAGCATGAGTGTCAGAGAGAAGTGTTTGAAGGCTGAAAATAGGGCTAAATCACACTCGTGCTTCTGCTCCTCCTAAACACACACTTCATACACTGCAGCAAAGTGAAGGCTTTACACCTTGAAGACAGACAGGCAAACTGATAAACTACCTTAAAATATTACTCTTTAGAGGTGGAGGAGCGGAAGAGTGTGACAAAACTGCATTGCAATGGCGTACTAGTGCTGCAGAGATGGCCTGGCCTATAATTCTTTTTGTACATGTGTTTATCATGCTTGCACGCTAAACTAAGATGGTACCTGCTAAATATCAGCATGTATGGATTGTCATTGTGAACATGTTTGCATGCTGACGTTAGCATTGAGGTCAGAGCACCGCTGTACAGCTGCTAACATGGCTGGCAAATGAAGCGTCTTAACCTTTCTATTCATATCAGTATGTCATCATAGACAAAGCAATGCTTCTCCACTGTAAGAAAATATTCCAGGCTCCCACACAAACCAAGTGGCTAAATCCAGCCTTTTCGTATAATGGCCGTAGTCTGTCATGAGGCTGTTTTCTTAATGTTGTTTTCCGCTGTGGATTACACACATACTCTCACATGCGACAAATCCTGAACTGAGAAATCCAAACACCCAAGCAGTTTCTTTCATCACCCCAAAGCCATTTTACTGCTATGATACTGTAGCTGCAGCCGTACACTCGTAAGCCTTCACGCCGTTGTGTGGATGTGGCTGGCAGACATTCTGGCTCTCTGTTCTCTCCACAGTCAAACTGTCACGCTCTGAATGGCCTCCGCTCTGGTGCAGATTGTGTGGCCCAGGGCAGGACATAGGATTTCAGGATTGTGAAAATTGCTTTACTCCTCGCCTTCCTCCAATTTACCTCTTTGTAGTGTGCAGATATACTGCATGTGAAAAACACTATAGATCCACAGTTTTGCTGCCTTAAATTCATCAGTGAGCATTTGACAAACATAGATAAAATAATTATTTCTTAACAAAGGAGGAATTCAGTTGTGGTTTTTTTCATGGTGGTTCATGGCACGCAGCCTTATTTATTTGGACTTTTTAAAGATCTATACCACACATACATGCATTGTAACTGCAGCAATAACATAATAAGTGCAAACGATGTTTAGAAAACTTGTGACTTCACATTCCTGCCAGGATGGATTTCACCCTGCCCCCTCCATGACAGCAAAAATCAGGGCGTGTTAGGAAGGTCATGCCTGAAAATAAGATGTAAAGGGGACGAATGAGGTCAGTTTGAGACAAGAATAGTGATTGGCTTTGTAGAGCACTTTTCAAAACTTTAATTATAAAGCGCGAGGCAACAAATTAAAAATCAACAGTAATAAAAACATTGTAAGGAACCTATAGGTAAATAAAATACATACACTTAAAATAAAATAAGTTAAAACAAAATTCACAAAAAAAGACAAAAAGATAACGCAAGTAGGTTAGAAAACAAAGGCAACATTTTTATCCAAACTGTTTACAAACCAATTCCCTCTCTCAGCTTTGACCTACTGTACCTACCGCAGTTGTGCATGCAGAGTTTTCCTGTGCGATGAGAAAATTATTAACAACTTTTAGCTGTACTAACCTTCAGCTTGACCTCCAACTGAGGTGGTTTAGATAGTCTGGCTAAACTGTTGGCTTGTGTACAACCTAATTTCTTGCCCCATCCAGTTTCATTACAGCACTGTTGCTGTGTACCCAGATCTCAGCAATGAATAAAATGATATCATAACAATACAGAGAATATGGCTGGAACTTCGGAAGTGAGACCCAAGTTGTCATAAACCTCAATGACCCTTTAAGCCTGTCTCTGGAAGGGATAAAAGACACATCTGTCAAAATTACTGTTGGTCCACACAGACTGATATGGGGGCTAATAGGTATGAAATATGGCAATAAGCTTTGAGCTTTAAAGGGGATAATTCATGTTCAGTTACACTCCTGTATTCAATATGCTCAGGTAAGATTTTCTGGGGAATTTGGTATTCTTTGTGAGAAGTGTGTGAGAGTTTGTGAGTGTGCGTGTTGCTCTCGACATTACACACAAAGCCCGTCTCCACTGTACTCTCTCCTCCTTTGGCTTTTGTTCAGGAGAATTGATTGTCCTTTTGTTCGCCGCCGAGATGGATCGCAGCGCTGGCAGGCAGCGTTTGGTGCGAGTTTTATTCAGCCATCCAGCTTCCTAAATGTGCTTTCATAGCCTCCGTTACACCAATCATTAATTACTCACCCCAGCACAGTGCAGGTCTCGCCGGTTGCCACAGCAACGGGCCCGGCTGCGTGGAGCACCGTGGTTACATGCTGTTGTGACCGTGATGCGTGTCTTTCCTCTGCGAGTCGCACACACAGTCTCTCAGACACAGCTGACTGGGCTGAATCTCCTGTCTCAGATATAACATTTCAAGGATTATACATCTCACTGTTGCAATTTAGCGTTTTCAAAGTTACACTGAGAAGGTCAGTGCGATGTCCAGTATTTCAGGCGCCACTGTTCAGACTTTAAAGAAACTCACCAGCACTCTCCAGAATTTAAAGTATACAAATTTCTTAAAATGGAGGCCTTCCAATAACAGTTCAAACAAAGGTATGTGTACTGACTGTGAAAAGCAGGCTACATTATGCTGCTGTGCCCCCAAGATTTGACAACACACACTTGCTAGGACTTAAGTTATTTTGCTGCTACGTATGCCGCTTTCCTTGCCCTCATTTTTATTATAAGGTTACGTTGCTCTTGTGTAGTGTTTATTTTTCATATACATCTAGACATGTATTTGTTACTTTCTCTATTTATCTGTACTTATTTCGGTCCTTGTGCTGCTGCAACATCCCAATTTAACCTCTGCGGATCAACAAAGGCTTATCTTATTTCTAGAAAAAATATAATGTTTTGAGCAGCAGTAAGGTTGCCGTTTGTGTGAAGTTTAGTAATGAAGTGGCGGAAGTTAAGAAAAAGAAGTAGTGAAGAGGACTGTTGAGTGTGTTTGGATGCGTCTGAGCTTCTGACTGAAAGGCTTTTTTGTGGGTTTACAATAAACTGTTCTGCCTGAGAGCATGGTGAATGCTGTTCAGCCCTCTTATACAAAAGCTTACTTAGAGTTTACTGTCTGTGTATTAACATTTCTATTTGGATTCAAAGGATTTCAAGGATTTCAGGCAGAACAATCTCTTCACAAATCACAATTACTGACTTTTCAGTATGTCTAATGTGTTTATTGAAATGTGAACGTCACATCCCTCCTCTGTTTCTTTGTCTCTCTGTCCATCAGGCCAGCCAGCTAGGAGTTTACAGAGCGTTTGTGGACAACTATGAGCTGGCTGTGGAGACGGCGGAGAAGTGCTGCCAGGCTAACACACAGTTTGCTGAAATCTCTGAGGTAAGAAGGAGAGCGGAAAGAATGGATACCAACACCAAGCAGGGATAGAAATACATGTTTTTTTATGGGAAAACTATACTGTAAATGTGGGGGAAGGAACCGGACAAAAGCTGAACAGTTACTTGTTCAGCTTCTGTGTCAAAGCAGGGGTTGAAGCTGTGATCTCTCAGTTATGGGATCATTTTTACCACCGTGTAAAATCAGTCAGCCAGACACTTAACCCCCTGCATACCAGCAAATTATCCAATTGAGTTTCACAAGTTGTTCTTTCTTTGAAGTGTGGAGCGATGCTGTATCTAATTTAGATAAAAGGAAGTACAGGTTCAGTTGAACATTTATCACTGGAGTGATTTTTGCCAACATTACAGCAAATTGAAACCCAATAATTCTTTCTTATGCTTTAAAAGATGAGTATCGGGTTGGTGATATCCTCCTCCTACACCCTCTTTTGTTAGAATACATACATAATGTTAACTGTTAGCAGTTGCTCCTGTGTAGCTGTATACCTTGTCCATCCTGCTGCCACTCTGGCCGGACAGTGTCTAAGAGAAAGATAATCTTACTTAGTCACACAGAAATGACAAAGAAGAGAAGTGACTTACACCAGAGTGTTAAACAACGTGTTATTAGGAAAAGAAACCGTTTCTGAGAGGTGTCGTATAGTCAATTTTGCAGCTGCTTAACCGTTTTGTCCCAGATGTACTGTACAAACACTGTACTTGCAAAACGCTCTCCAATTATTCACCCACGCAGCTTTTATCATTTCCCCATTTAAATTTGAATGTTCTGCTGAATATTTCTGTACAAATGCGGCCATTGGCAATTTTTTGCGCGTGTGTGTACATTATCTTAATGGGTGCAGTGCAGAGGATAGTTGTTGTATTTTCTCTAGCTTAGTCTCACTCTCATCGCTGGCCAGGAAAATATGAGCTCAGTACACAGACTGTAGATGAGCCTTGACAGTGTAATAAATTTGTACATTTCCCCAAACACAAATTTCCAGCAGCTTCAGAGGCTCAGGACAATTCCTTTTATCATAGACAAACTAGATTTGAAAACACTTACTCCCATGCATCAAATCTAGTTTTGGAGGCTGATAGAACAATATTGACCCTGGTTTAAACCAGTAATCTACATTCCCAACAGTGTTGTACTTTATAAGGTTGGGAACTGTGAAGGTCCAAACAGTATTACAGCTCTCTTCATGCATTTTAGGAGTCTTCTGTTAGTCTAGCATCCACAAAAATGGCTTCAGATGCAGCCTTTACAGACTGTGGGGGACTTATTTGAACTACACTATGTATGTGTATGTATGAGCAAATATTGGATTAGCTTTTTAGGTTAGCAGGATAAAAATATAGTCCAGTGTTGAACAGTATATTCAGCAGTCTCCTGGCTTAAGTCTTTCAGCTCTTTTTCGTACATTTTCTTCCCATATTTTTTTTCAAGCATGTGGCAGTTTCTGATACACCATCAGTCTTCGTCTATGTTTTATGAGGTCTACCAGTTAGCGTTGAGTCTAGTGTCTACACGCGGGATGGGGAATTCATCATCGAGGGTTGTTAATGGCCTACGTAATGATGCATGACTCTGAGCCATCTGAGCAAGATGGTGGGGGGAAAAGCTGCTGAGGATGGCATAATTAATTTGGAAGTGGATGACCTCAGTGCTAGAGCAAGGATAATAACATCTGTATGTTTTTTTATTTGTCTTAACCGTACTGAAATGGTATTTAAAGATTATTTGTAAGGGTTCTCCACTTTGAACTTGCCTTTTGTCTCCAAACAGAACCTGAAGGTGAGAAGCCCAAAGGACTCTAAGGACCAGACGGCCAAGAACTCTCTAGAGGGTCAGTCACATCATGCTAGTTCATGCTACTAAAATATTAAAATGTAACAAAAAAATAAAACATTTACATATGGAAAGTTATAATAATTCATTCTTGTGTCTCTCCTGTTTCATGTGCAGCTTTGCTATATAAACCAGTGGACAGAGTGACTCGCAGCACGTTGGTACTTCATGTAAGTAAGAGTGAGCACTGAAGCGGCAATCCTAAGAAATTTCACATTTCAGGTGTGTTTCAGTAATTGCCTATGTTGCTCGCAAATTAACCCTAGAATGAATGACATGGGTGATCCAAACCAAACCTGCAGCTTGTTTATCAGAATACAAAACATCATTGTTTTTCATTTCAGTTATTTCTTACAAATCTGCTTTGTTACTATTATCATAAAGCATTTTCTCCATCGTTACTCAACCCAACTCTGAAGAAGGAAAGAAATACAATTGTTTATTACGTGCATGAAAAAGCAATAACAATATACAAACTGTTTTCAGCAGGAGGTTTGAGTAAGAGGATGACTGTTTATCCATCAAAGAGCTAAAAATAAAAAAAAATAAAAAAAGGGCATACTTGAATGACGAATAGTAATATGTTACTTTAAAACATTTTATTTGCATGTCTGTGTGCATATGTGTACCTATACCTGAATATGTGTTCTTTACCTGGATAGTTTTGCTTTTGAAAGTTAATATTTCTCTATCTACTGCTGCTGTACTTCAGGACTTGCTCAAACATACGCCCACCAGCCACCCAGACCACCCGCTTCTGCAGGACGCCCTGCGGATCTCCCAGAACTTCCTGTCCAGCATCAATGAGGAGACAACGCCCCGACGCCAGTCTATGACTGTTAAGAAGGGAGAGGTGAGCATTTAAGATCCTATTGGCATGCTTTTCTTCAAACAGCTGATGCTACTTGGCTCTAGTGAGCACTAATTTACTGGATTAAAAGAAAGTGCTTTGGGGTTACTAAAAGAGCAGCAGACAGAAATGACCGTTTTTGTCTTTATTACACGCTGTGTTGTGGCTTAAAATGTTTGCATTTTTATTTATTTTTGCCATCATGGAGCAAACTGGAGCAACTAACATACAGTACATCAATATCTGGTTCATACAGGCATTTTCACAGAATTGTGATTCTTCCTTTATTGGCTACTTCAGACATTTTCACTGCTACACCATTAACAAAACAGCAGGGAACAGTTTTGTTGGGTTTTTAAAATCAAATATTAAGACTCTTAAGTTTAGATGTAATTTTAACTTTGCATCAAATGTGATACAAAGCAGTCTAGATGTAGATAATAGTCAGCAGTTTAACTCTTTCCAGCTCATATTGAGCATGATGACGTCATGACACTGCCAATCTGCAGCTTATGCCCTTATATGGTCATACTAGGGTTTCCTAGATGAGGGTGATTCTCTGCTTGCTCTGCGTCTCTCTTGTGGCTTCCCATCCCTCCATCTCCCCTAACGCAAACACACACACACACAC